TAAAGCAGTGATGCTGACCAGAGAATGATCCCAAACTGCCCTAGATGCTCATTCTGGTGCATCAGCATATCAAAGGTCACTCCTGGAAAGCCTTTGAATGTTTTGCTGACACCTTTCCCTGAGACCTCCCCTAAAATTCTTACCTTTAGAAAATAGGTAAAAACTCTTAAGAGAAAGGATGCCAGTGCCTGTCCCTTGAGCATGCTTGTGCCCCACCCCCTCTTTCCTCAGGAGTATATCTTTGCTTGCTTTCTCCTAAGCTATAAGGGTTCCCACAAGACTTGCAACCATGGGACCAACGAGTAGCAGCAGCTCATCCTGGGCTAACCTCCTGAACCTGTCTCCAGGGCCCCTCCTTTTGCCCCTGTTACTTGTTTCCTGAGTCCACGAAGCCCAGCGTAGCTCACTTCTTCCTCTGTGATTTCTTTTCCTGAGTCCATGCAGCCCAGTGTGGCTCACTTCTGTTACTGTGATTCCCTTTTCTGAGTCTAGGCAGTCCAACCTAAACTCACTCCTGTTGCTGTGATCTTGCCTCTTCTATCTTAAAACCTTACTTTGTTTTACTGTCCCCAGCTTTAACAAATGTACTCTCAAAATCACCTGGACTTATATTATGAAATCTTTCCTGCATGAAGTCAAGAACCCACACATTCCAGACTGTGCTGGGTCAGACCCACCTTGGTCCTGGTCTCTTTCCAGTGACACCACTACATCACACGCTTTCCCTCCAGCCATTCTCTGCAGGATTCTGTCACACTTCACATCACATTACTGAATATTCCAGGTTCAGCCTCCTCCCCTTCTTTTCCACATTTCCCCTGTGTTAGCAAAGAGACTCACTGGTGCTCATCAACCACCCTTTCCCTGCCTGCTTGAAGAGTCTCTCCCAGGGCTCCTGCAGTGGTGTTTTTGGCAGGCTCACAGCCTGTGACACTGGGTTCACCTATCATCCTCCCATTAGACCGTGAATTCTCTGATGGAAAAGACAGGGCCTCTGAGTCTTTTTATTCCCAGTGCTCAGCCAGTGTCTGACCTATACTAGCTGCCCAACAGATATTTGTCAAATGAAGATCTGTATTAATAGGCCTCATGCTTAATTCTAGGTTGCATGCTACAGTTAATAAGATGCAATAAAATGTAAACAAAGGGCATTATAATCTGCTATATACCATTACTATGTAAAATTTTTAAAAATAAAAGTATAACAGAAACCTACATACATGCATTTGTTTGGATTGGGGGTGAGCTAATTATCTACTTGACAATGTCATTTGTTTGGGTTCACTTTTTGAGCACAGAATGCTCTGTACCACCCCAGCCTTGCCATTTCATCCCCTTTACCCTGAGGCCAAGCACCCTGCCACAGTTGCTTAGGAGGTGGAGGTCTTCTCTTGCAGAGCCCAGCTAATGAGTCCAGGAGCTGTCTCCTAAGAGAGAATTGCTCCAGTAAATAAAAAGCACCCTGGAAACAGTGGCTCAGGTGTGTGCGCTGAGGTGATGCAGCTTGTTTCAGTTCCACCTCCACGGAATTGCTTGAGTGAGAATACAGACATGGTCTCTGGGCTGGTGAACCTCCTGCAGCTGTTCCTTCCTTCATCACTCTGTGCAGTGCTGTGGGAACCTTAGGGGGAAATAACACACTGAGCTGTGAAGTGGGAGTTCACTGTATTTTCGCTCTCACAGTATAGCACCTTTTGCCTCACATGACAAAAATTTAAATTACATTGGAGGTTGAGAATAAAGTTTGGGATTTTTTTGGAAGTGTTGCCAGACCCCTTTAAAATGGAATCTCATATTCCAGACTGTCTTTGTGAATCACACTGAGCGGTATTGAGTATAGGTTTGCCGGGGGGTGGGGGGTGGGGGAGTTTAAGCCTTGAGTAATGATACACTGAAAATCAGTGAGATGGCATTAGTGTGACAGCTTCTCATCTGCTATCAGTCATCTTGCCACCAGAGGACACAGCCCACTCATTCTGCTCTGTGGCTCCTCAAAAGATTTTTTTCCATGCAACAAATTACCCTGGAGGGATATCAAGGCCCCATTGGTTTTTATTTAAAAATCATAAGTTCAGGCCTCGAAGACATGCAAGTGACAGCATATGAAAATTCATATTTCTACGAGCAGTTGTTGGGCCTTCAGTGATAAAAATCTCTTTGCCCTCCAGTTAGGAGCCATGGGAAGAATGGAGGCATTGTGTAGATTACTTAAAATTCCTCAGCGCCGGCACCATTTGGCCAAAGAATGCTAAGAATCTGCAGCTGCTGCTCCCACCAGAGGCTCCTAACGGGCAGCGGCCGCCGTTTAACACACAGCTGTTGTTAATTTGAGCTGAAGATTTGTAATTGTCTTTGTGTCGAGATTTGTTAAATAACACTTTAGAGGACTGAAAACTATAATAGTTGTATTAGTAGGAGGCTGAAGGAAGAAAAATAATTGGAACACAGCATTTCGGCCTTGTAAACCGAGACTGAAAATATCTTTTCCACGTGACTGGCTTCTGGCCATTCCAGGAAAAGAGTTTCTAGGTAAATCCGGGCACAGAGCCCTCGTGGCCTTTGCAGGAGCTCAGCCCCTTGTTCCCCTTACTCAGTGGCCTTCTCTTGTCCCCACCCTCTCTGTTTCTATTATCTCAGCAGACGGGAGCCGTAGTGCTTGGAGCAAAGGTAGCATTAGCTGGCAACCGCCTGCTCCTCGTAAGTGGCCAGCACTGTTTCGGGGAGCCTCCGTCGTCACCGTCTCCCCGTGACATCTCGCCCATCCATGACCACGTGGGGAGGGGTCTGAACCCTTCCCACTTAGCTTAGAGCATCTGTGTGGATGAGCAGCAGATAGAAAACATGGCCTTTCCTTTATTTTCTGCCAAGTCAAAGGAGAGGGAAGGAGAGGCCCTTCTACTAATGAGAAACAACAACTAATGTTGTCTCTTATGAGGGCAGTTGCCAAAATGTCCCAAGAAAGGAGCTTTGAAAATGAAGAGAGGCAAGCCAGGAAAATTGGAGAGTAAGCCATAAAGCCTCACTACCATAGGAAAATCTCAATCATGTTTTTGCATTTTAATGTTCAGTATTCCCTTTAACAGGAAAAACGTCGATTCATCAGGCGTTTATGGAGCACCTACTGTGGGCAAGGTGCTGTGCTAGTGTGGGACCCAGAGACCAAGTGTAAGACAGGCCAAGGGCACCCAAGTGCTGTATAAACCACTCACTCCCAACAGAGGCGAGGGCGAGAGGTCTGATTTATGGCAGAAGGGACGACCTTCCAGGCCAAGGACCTCGAGGAGGAAAAAAGCACAGTGGCCTGGAAAAGTGTATCTTGTTGGAAGGACGGTATATGGTTGGACATGACAGTGTTGGGCAAGAACAGGAAACAAAAAACAACCCCAGGGTTGGAGAGGTTAAATGCAACTGGATTCCGGCAGGGCGAACACCCCCTAAGGAGTTCGGGTTCTATTCTGTGAGGAATGGGAAACAGTTCAATGCTGTGGAGCTGGGAAGTGGCCTGCTTCTCAGGCAAATCATCCTGCTGGAGGGTCTGCCGGACTCCAGAGCCGCTCCCACCCCCGTCCCCCATGCAGAGGCAGACCCGCTGCCCTGTGCCAAGAGCGTGAGGACCCGAGCCATGCGACAGCAGGGAAGGGAGAGGGGAAGGCCCCTGAGAGCCAGAGTCCGGGCTTCAAATCCTAGACGTGCTACTCACCAGCCTAAGGCAGTGGAGTTAACTTATCTGTGTCTCTGCTTCCCCATCTGTAAAATGGGGATAACGACAGATTCTTAAGACTGTTTTAAATTAATAGGACACATAAAATGCTTAGAGCAGTGACTGGTACAGTAAGCTCTTTGCACAGGTTAGCTATTATTATTTTAAGATGTAAAAACTTACAACTTAGCAACTAGTTGATGTTGGGGAGGAAAGGGAGAGTCAGAGGTGTAATGCTCATCAAAGGAATATGGCAGAGACTCAGAACTAATAATAATAACCAGAAAACAGCAGGGAATCATATTGAAGAACATAACAAAGTAACTTTATAATCTTCAAAAGTGTCAAGGAAACACGAAGGAAATGTTCCATACTGATGGACAGCAGGACATGGTAACTAAAGGCAACGCCCGATTTAGAACTTGATCCATTGGCTTCAAAGGACATTATCAGGACAGTTGAGATAATTCCACTGAAATTTGAACGGTGTCTGTAGATGTAGGTACGTAGAAGCACGTGCTTGGTCCCTTTATTGAAGGAAATGACACTGAACTGTTCTATAGTGATGAGGCATCAGGTTGGCAGCTTATCCGCAAATGTTTCAGAAAGCCTTCTGTGCTCTACTTATAAGTCCTCTGTAAGTTTGTAATTGTTTGGAAAGGAAAGCAATTTATTTAAAATGAAGAGCTAGCATTTGTTGAGCATTTTCTCTTTATTAGGCACTATGGTCAATACTTTGCGCATGAGCAGAATCAGTTCCCCAGGAAACATCTCTTACTTGCATCTCTAGCAAAAGGGAGGCCCAGTCCCTCCCCTGGGACCCTGTAACAGCCTGAACTCCTCCTCACGGGACAACCTGTAGTAACTGCTTGTTGTTTGTCTGTAACACCTGCCTCCCTCCACGGACAGGAAGCTCTTTGAGGGCAAAGAGTGTAGCCCATTCTCCACGTACCCACATGTCCCAACACAGCTCCAGGTAAATCATAAGTGCTCAGTAGATGAACAGTGAATGAAGCACTGAGGCTGGCCCACCGTGGTGAATGTAGTAAAAAATGAGCCCTGGCCAGTGTGGTTCAGTTGGTTGGGTGTTGTCCCCAGTGCACTGAAAGGTTGCTGGTTCAATTCCCAGGTTTTGGGCTCCAACCCTGGTAGGGGGAGTGCAGGAGGCAGCCAATTGATATTCCTCTCTCACATTGATGTTTCCCTCCCTCTAAACAAAAAATCAGTAAAAAATCTTTAAAGAAACAATAAATGAGGCACCAGACTTGGGATATATGTCTGATGAGTGACTTCTTTTCAGGTGGCCCGGGCTCTGGCAAAGGCACACAGTGTGAAAAGCTGGTGGAAAAATACGGATTTACATATCTCTCGACTGGTGAGCTCCTGCGTAATGAGCTGTCATCAGACTCTGAAAGAAGCAAATTGATCAGAGACACAATGGAACGTGGAGACCTGGTGCCCTCAGTAAGCAACAGCTGCCTTCCCTGGCTGGGGACATAATTGGGTGTGCTGCCTTTAGTCTAAGCTGCCGGAACAAAGAAACCCCAAGGAACAATAGCTGTATCTCACTTCTCTCTTACGGAGCAGGCAGGAGGTCCACGTTGTCCAGGCCCAGGTGACTCTGTCTTGTTGCTCCTGCCAGCTCCTTAAATATTAGCCTATTTCATATTTCCCCCCAAACTGGTTCCCACTTTAGAATTAAAATCTGTAAAGCAGAGATGAGCATGGTACAACAGAGCCTAGAATTACAACCGTCTGTAAAGTAGAAAATAAAGGTCTGTTATTGTGGGAGGTATGATAGCACTATCTTGAAATTTGGCATCTTCCCTGTGTAGTTTAAGTAAAGAATATGTATATTTTTAAACATCTTTTTTATATATCTTTTTTCTTTTCAAGTCACCACCCATCTCTGAGAAGCTGGATGCCATGGCTGTCAAAAAATAGGCATTCCTGCCGTGCTAAGCCCCAGGGTCTGTAACGGGGCTTAAACAATGCAGTCCCTATTAGCTAACAGAGCTTTACGCCCCCCTTAACCAGCTGCAGTCTGTTTCCCACCTGGAAGGCAGAATGGCCTCATGAAAGCAAACAAACCATTGCAGTTGCCTCTTAGCTGGCTTCCTTGTGGCCACTGTCTTCTCCCTACAGTTTACTCTTTTCACAGCAGACAGAATGATTTCTTGAAAGTGCTTACCAAATTGTGTATCCCTTCCCCAGAACCCTCCCGTGGCTCTGGCCTCCAGCTCCCTCTCCAACACTATTTCCCACCACTCACCTTGCTCATGTTCACCCAGCCACTGTCCATTTGTTTCATCGTTTCTCCACAGGCCAGGCTTTTCCTGCCTCAGGGCCTTTGCAGTTGCTATTTCCTCAGCCGGACTGCTCTGTCTTCATATGTTCATACAGTTTACTCCTTTACTTCATCCAGATCCCCACTTTAATGTCACAATTTATCAAAGAGGCCTTCCTAACCACCCTGTATCTCTTCACCCTGCTTTAGTTTTGTTCCCAGTGGTTCTCTCTAGCTCACTTTTTATTATGTATATATTTGTTCATCTATTATCTGTCCTCCTCACTAGAATGTAAACCTCACGAGGAGTTAATTCACCATTATCTAGCGATAGTTTCTGACCACCCCTGAGTTGGCTGCATTCTCCAAGACCCTGCCCAAAGCCAAGGGATGCCAGGGAGCCAGAGAACAGGGAATCCCCCCATTTGAGTAGCTGGTTGCATTGCCTGCATCCATTCTCAAGCTTCCATATGTCTCTCCTCCTTTATTTGCCATAAGCACAGGTCAAATCAGTTTTTAACAGAGAAAGTGATGTTGCTCGAAAATGCTACATCATATCTACTGAAAGTTTTCTCAAGTTAGTGGATGTCAAATTTTATAAAATACTTTACTGGAGCCCTGGCCCGTGTGGTGCAGTGGTTAGAGTGTTGGCCTGCACACAGAAGGGTCTCAGGTTCAATTCCTGGTCAAGGGCACATACCTGGGTTGCAGGTTCGATCCCTGGCCCTGTTCAGAGTGCATGTAGGAGGCAACCAATAGATATGTCTCTTTTACATCAATATTTCTCTCTCTCTCTCTCCCTCCCTCCCTCCTTCCTTCCCTTCTTTCCATTCTCTCTAAAAATCAATGGAAAAAGTATCCTCAGGTGAGGATTAACAAAAATAATAATAAAATAAAATTTAAAATAAATATCTCCTGGAAAAATTCAGCAGTATGTTTTGCCTAATTTTAAACTGTCATTATGCCTAATTTATGGGGCACTGCCATGTGAAATATGGGCACTATATTTTATCTAATCAAAGATGCCATTATTTTAAGACACCCAGTAAAATATTACTAGTGAAAGTATACCAGCAAGAAAAAGACACTAACAAATTATGCCCCAGCACTGATTGTAAGATACCTACCAGTTTCACAGACATTAGTATGCATGTCAGTGAGAGAGTGACACAGAATTGATGAAACGGGGCTTATTGCTGCCTGCTGCTCATCTTACCTGAGCCTCCCCCGCCTCGGGGGCTGACTTGGGAGACCGGAGGTCCTGCTGGTGTTGCTCCGGGGAAGAGCGCAGGTCCTGACCACTGTCCCCCCGTCGCAGGGCATCATCCTGGAGCTGCTGAGGGAGGCGGTGGTGGCCAGCCTCGGCCACACCCCGGGCTTCCTGATCGGCGGCTACCCTCAGGAAGTGAAGCAAGGCAAGGAGTTCGGGCGCAGGGTGAGTGCTATGCGGATTATCCCAGAAGGAACACGGGATTTCATTGAGGTTGGAAGATCAATTCAAAGTCTCTTGCCTTCCAATGACATGAATTGAAACTTTCAGTTGCAAATGGCAGAAACTCAACGCAAAGTAGCAAAAGAAGAAAGGGAAGGAAGGAGTGATGATGGTGAGCTGTGGCTCAAGTAACTGAACCGACCGGGAGTGGTTCACACTTGACTGGATCTATTTATTCACATTTGTTCATCCGTCATCTGACTTTTCCCAGGTGTGGGTTGTCTTTCCTTTGTGTTGGCCTCATTTTCTTTCTGTTCCAGGCTTATCTTCCACCATCGATAAGTGACCATGCAGAAAAGTTTCTGTTTGCCAAAGGGTCTAACAAGACCCAGGGTTGTGTTTTGTTATCCTGGATTATTAAGTCATGGGCCCATCACCGAGCATGTCACTCGTGTGGTCTGGGGTCAGAAAAGATGGATTTTCACCTCTGCCATATACTAGTGTGGCCCTGGGCAAGTCATTCAACTTCAGATTCCTCCTCTGTAAACACGAGAAAATAATATACCTGCCAAACCCTATTTAGAGGGTTTTGTGAGCATCAAATGGTATGACATACATCAATGAGTTTTCTAAGCTGTAGAAGACTATAAATTGTTACCCAGTTTAGGGTCACTTATTTTTCATTCACACCTCCTACACACCTGTAAATCCTTGTTCCATCACACCTACCTTCTTTGCTCATAACCCAGTTAGCGTGAGTTAAGGCTTGACCACCCATTGGTCTGGCTCTGGCCTTTGGGTGTGTAGGAATTCAAATCACCCATATGATCTTCCCTAAAGTAAAGCAAAACTCCCTCTCCCACTGTGGGCCCCATTCAGACAGGTGTTAGGATGGGTCAGAGAAGAAACCTAACTAGGACTTAGGAGTAAACAGTTGTCCACATGATGACTGGACAGTTTCAACCAATGCAAAAATTCATGATGCCATTTCAAAAACTACACAAGTGCAACATTTCATTCCTGAACCCATGACCTTCAAGTGAGGTATCTACCAGAACCGTCTTTTACAGACTGCTGGGAGGAGTCTGCAAAGATCAAGCGTGGTATTTATTTGTCCCTGGGTACAGTAAATTTAGAAGATTCTAACATCAGTTAGGCTTATGTGCAAGAGGACACATGCAACCCTCTAAAACAAGCTCTTGCCTTAAACTTGACCAGAACAGTAAAGATGCTACAAACACAGAATGAGCTGTTATTGATTTATTTATGCCCTACAGGGACCCCAGCATTTGTAAAGCTCCCTCCAAATTACAGGCAAGTAATTAATTTGAAACTTGGCAAAGACAAGTACAGACATCTGATTTCCTCCAGAGATTCAGAGCGATGAGCCTGGTTGAGAGCACAGTGCATGTTTCTTGTACACTCATCAAGCTTGCAACTGTGGGGAAGCCCATTCAGGCCTGTGCTCGGTTTTAACCAGTCTCCGGACATCTCACCAGCCTTTCCATAGCACAGAGGCGGATGTGCATGATGCACGGAACCATCTGTTGCCGAAAAGAAATCCAGTTCAGTCAGTTAGCTAGGCTAACACTTTTGCAGACCTATAGCTGAGTGTCTGAGATGCAAGATCCCTTGAGGATTTGCTTGGCTACTGCGCATGACATCACTAAAGGCCAAACGCAAACTACAGCTATGCCCACAGTTTAGCGCTAAGTCTGTATGTGATTTCTCTAGTACCTTCCTATCTTCTATCCCCAAGGCTGTTTTTCCCTCCATTGAATTGATTTGTGCCTTCCATATCCAATATGGTATATTAGGGGAGGGGAGGGCATCAGCAAGTTGTGTGTGTGTGTGTGTGTGAGAGAGAGAGAGAGAGAGAGAGAGAGAGAGAGAGAGAGAGAGGAGAAAGATGGAATATGAAGGAAGAGCTGGGGTTTCTAACCACCATCCCCATCTCCCACCCCAGTTGAGAACCCCTGGTTACAGTGATTTCAGGGTTCATGGGCCTATATTCAGAGCCTGGCTTTCTACCTCACTGACAAGCCATTGGTACATAGAGCAATTTCCTTCTTCTATAAAATGTAGATTGAAAAGAGATACCTCAGTGCTTGTTGGGAAGATCGAATGGAATCCCTGAAAAGTGCCTTACACATTTGTAAGGCTGCAGAGGGTGTTCAGTAAGTGGTTACTGTTTTATTTTCAAAATTATTTGTATATTTGTGACTATGAACATAAAAATTATATAGATCTGAGGCAAAACAGAAAAGTATAAAACAAAGAGCAACTAATTACCCAGAGATAACACCTATTATTTGATATATGTTCTTCCAGTATTGGCTCTGTTTTTATATAGTTAAAATTATATAGAATACATAACAGCATAATAGCTGTTATTTTGTGAGCACTTAAAATGCACGGGGAGCTGAACTAGATGCTTTACATGTCATTTTATGAATCTTTACAATCCTACTCAGTAGGTATTATTATCCCCACTTCATAGATTCGTATCACATTAAGGAGGGGAGCGTGCTTAGTCTGGCTCCCTAGTGTGAAATTGAAAAGCTTTCCTGTATTAAGCCAACACTGACTCAACAACAGCCAAACTAATCACATATTAACACAAGCAAAATGCATGCACTCACTCTTGGCATTTCCCTCCCAGGAGCCTCTTACCTGAATTCTGCCCTTAGCCTGAATATGCAGGGAATTTTTCTGGATGTGTGAAGGACAACATTACTGTCTCACAGCCTGACTACTCTTAACTATCTCATAACATTTTTCACCTACAAGAGTCAGTGAATCCTTTTATAAATGTATTCTAACCTCCCGAATGAGTTCTTAGCAAAAGAAAAAAGAGAAAAAAAGAAAAAGATTAAGTCTGGCTAAGGGACATTCTAGGTGTGTGGTAGTTGTTTGGAACTTGGGGAGCCTTGGAGACCCCGTGGGATTTTTCCACTTGAGATTTTCTGCTTTATTCTTCTGACTTCTGGTTCTCCGTAGAGCTTTGAGCTGGGTAATGGGGTAATTGCGGTGGGGGGGGAGGGCAGATGTTATAGGGGCAGCGGGGTGCTATTATTATTATTAGGGTTGTGTGTTCAGGAATGCGGGGATGACCCAGATACCCCTCCTCTAGTGAGGCTCCCCAGGGGTATATACCTCAGGGTGAGAGCAAATGGGAAATTGGCCTGCGGCTTTATTGTTGGCCAGGAGCCTTGCCCCCCAGTGCAGAGACTGGTGGGTGTGCTGGAGCATGTGATCCAGGCTAAAAGTGTGGGTGGGGCCTCTGGTTCTTTCTAAAGCCAATTGACCATCAGGGGCTTTTATAGTTCAAAGGGATGAATATATTGCTAGGCCCACATCAAATAATATTAGCTCCCATTTATGCTGTGCTTGAAATGGGCCAGACACTTGACTTGTATTAACTCCTTTAATCCTCGCAGTCATCCTATTGAGGTAGAAACTGTTATTATTCTCATTTTAAAATGAGGAAACAGAGGCGCCCAGAGAACAAGACAGCTGTTGTTCTCAACAAAAGAGAGTCCCTGGATGGCATGGCCCTGCCCACTGGTAAATATGGTTTAGCTTGTGTCCTCACTTAATCAGAAGAAAACTGAAGGGGCGGTTAGAGGAGAGCAGGGTAAATTCCCCCTCCTGCACAACCTGCTGGAATGACCAAGGCAAAGCCATTAGCACGAATCACCGAAGCTGACATCCGCATCCCCGTGGCTGCTCTCAGCCGACATAAATGCTGATTCCAACTAGGCCCAAGAGCCAGCTTCCACAAAATAAGATAAAATGGCCTTGACACCACCCACATCCTTCCCTGCATCCTGCCCTCCCCTCCTGGCTCCATTTGGCTTACCAGTCATCTGGCTTGAGCCCCACTCTAAAGGCTCTGGTGCCCTCCAGTAGGGTCAAGTCACCAAGCTTTGGAGTTGTGCACAGCTGACTCAGGACCATCACTAACTAGTTAATCCTCTGTGACCTTGGGCAAGTTAACCTCTGTGAACCTCCATTTATTTCCTCACCCTTAGAGTAGAGATAATATCTCCTAGCCGGGTGCTGAAAAGGTTAAAGGGATGGCTGTATATAAAGCCCTTAGCTGCTGAAGTGGTGCTTACGGTGTCTCAGCCACCCTTCCAAGGGCACCTGTGCAGTAGTAGAGGGCCCCTGAATACCTAAAGGTGATGGAGAACCCAGTACTACTGTGGCAGAATTCCAGGGACACCAGTGATATCAGGGGCATGGAGTTGTCCCCAAGTCTCTGTGATTGATTCAGCCAAGGGCCGAGTTCTCTGTTCTCCCACTTAGGTGAGGCTGGAGGCTAAGCACAGTCCAGTGAAAAAGAGGCAGAGCTGGGAACCAGAGAGCTACTCCAAAAGACTTTTGATATATCAAAGTGCTTTGAAAAATAAGTAAATGGTATTTCACTTAAACATTTCAAAAATCTGTAGGTATTAAAAACTTCAGTGGGACAGGCCACTTCCAAGTGGAATGGCTGCTCATTAGCTTTCTATGTAGGAAGGGAGTGCTGATCCCAGGAGAGATAGGTTCGTACAAACCCCTTAGTCTCCACACGAGCAAATGGCTGGGTAGAGCAGCTTCTCAAGCAGTTATTGTGTGAAGACTCACCTGGAGATCTTCTTAAAATGCAGACTGATTCAGTAGGTCCGGGACTGGGCCTGAAACTGCCTTTCTAACAGGCTCCTAGAGGATGCCTGTGCTGCTGGTCTGAGGGCCACAATTTGAGAATCAGTGTGGAAAACAAATCTACCTCAGGGGGTGGGTGGAGGTGGAAGAGGGTATGGGGGGTAAATGGTGATGGGGAACAAATAAATAAAATAAGTAAAACTTTTAAAAAGAAAAGAAAATAAATATACCTCTGCCTCCAGTGCTTATTTTGGTCCAGAGGGTTATTTACTGCCAGCTCCTGCTCAGATACACATTACCTCTGTACCTGAATGAGTCCCTGAATTACCTTTTCCGTCCCCACAAGTGTCCTGAAAACCACCACAACTGGAAAAATCGCCTGGTCTTCTCATGCAACCCCAACCAGAAATTGCTCCAAGGGGCCGAACTCTGTGACTGAACCCTAGGCTGCCTCCCAAGCTCGCCCTCTGCTGGTGGACAAGGCTCGTTTTCTTCTAAACCTTCACCCAGCCTTTTTTGCTGCTCTAATACTCATTTTTGTTTCCCAATTAATATAGCAGAAGAGTTGCATGACATATTCCAGAGGTTTATTTCACTCTTCTCGATTTGGGGGAAATTTTCCACTCTGTTCCTTAAAGTAAATCCCTCAGATGGGGAGGCGGTAAATGTTTGATTAACACTAGCAACTTACCTTGTGTGTAGTTACCTAAAAGTTTTCCCCACGCTGACTTTGTTCCCATCTCTCCCAGACACTTTCTGCAGTGGGGTGGCAAGCCTTCATGTATTACTCACACCTGATCATTGCAAGATCAGGAGGGAGCAACAGTTTCTTTTGATCCAGGTTTGGGGTTGGTAGTAGAGGCAACACAGACAGAGATGTCAGAAGCAAAAGAACACTTAGGAGAAGCATGGGGAGATGGGGAGATTCATGCCACTGATCATATCATCATTCATTTATTAAAACATTTTCAATCACCTATCTACTATATGCAAGACTGGGACCAGGAGCTGAGTCCTCCTTACCCCGGCACACAAAGAGATATTGTAGCCTAGTAGGGGAAATAAGCGTAATAGCTAATACTGATTGAGTGCTATATGCTAAGCATTATTCAACTTCATTTACCCACACAGCAATTCTGTGGTCATTCTCATTGTACCAATGAGAAAATCGGGGTGCAGGGAAGTTGAGTGACACTTTCAGTTACTGATGAAGTCCGGTAGCTTAAAATAATTTGTTAATTTCTCTAATAGGGTTCTGGGGTTTGATGGTTTTGGCTGGCTGGTTGTCACTGGGGGTCCTTTTTTCAGTTGAATTTGTACCATCAGATAGTGGCTAATGCTGAGTACAGATGTCTGGAGCCAGGGGTGGGTTGTCTAAACAGCCAAGGGCTGAACAGGTATCTCTGACCGCGTGGCCTCTGTCTGTGTGGCTAGCTTGGGCTGCCTCACAGCTTAGTGGTCAGAATGGTTGGACATCTTGGATGGCAGTTGACCAGGCAGAAACTGCAAAATTGCTTATGATCTTGCTTCTAAAAACATGCTGCATCATTTCCACTATGTTTGTTGGTCAAAACAGTTACAGGTCAGCTGAGATTCAAGGAGGTCAGGCTCTGTGTCTCAATGGGGAAAGAACTTAAAGTACATGGAGGCAAGGAATTGGTGAGGACCATCTTGGAGACAGGTCACCACACCAGGATTTGACCCTCGGCAGCCTGACTCCAACCTTGGCGTGCTCAACCATTATGCTGCACTAACTCCCCCACAATATGGACACAGCCACACTCTGCTACTGGTGTGCGATAACGTGGTGGGGCCACGGAGGAAGGGATTAGCTCTGCCTCAGTAGGTCAGAGAAGGCTTCCATGAGGAAACTCCACACACATACACACACACCTTCCTTTAGTGTGGAGAACAGATTGCAACTGCATTGGATCTTATTCTGTATCATCCCTGCATTGCAGGAGATGACAAAGGCTGAGGGCAAGAGATAGCTCTGAAAACCACTGACCTGGAAGTGAGGAGCCATGAAGTCCAGTCCCAGCTCTGCCACAGTGTAGCTGTAGGACAGTGAAAGGAACCAGAAGGCTAGGAAAGGGAAGAACTAGGGGCCCCAGGCCTTTCCAGAACATCACAGAGTGGAGTTTCTGACCGTGTTGTGCTCTCCCCGCTCCCCGCCCCAGATTGGAGACCCACACTTGGTGATCTGCATGGACTGCTCGGCAGACACCATGACCAACCGCCTTCTCCAGAGGAGCCAGAGCGGCCGGTGCGCAGACAACACCGCCACCATCGCCAAGCGCCTTGAGGCCTACTACCGCGCATCCATCCCCGTGATCGCCTACTATGAGACGAAAACACAGCTACATAAGGTGAATCATTCCCTTTCCCCCTCCAAATGAGCCAGTTCCCCCCAGCTTTCCTTAAGAAAAGAGAAAAACAAACACAACAGGACGTTTTTGGTTAAGGGATCTGGGAATTAGAGCTGCATAAAGCTGCACAATTTAGGCCAAAATATAGGTCCCTTACTCTCTTCACTTTTGTATCAATCAAAATTAAATAGTTGTCATCATATGGACCATGAAATCTGGTCATACTTAATTTTCACAGATGCCATTACAATTGTTGAAATCAGCTCCCTTTTCCAAAACAGAAAGAAGGAGGAACGAAGGGGGGGGAGGCATGGATGAGACGTAAGTGCTGCCTTCTTGACCTCAGCTGAACAGGGTTATCTAAAAGGTTTCTTCTAGGTCTAAGATTCAACAACTTTGAATTTCTAGATCTGTGCACAGTTCATAACTGGCACTTGTCTCCGTTGCCTCAGTTTCTTTCAGTAACTATCATTGAAAGAAGCAGTATATGGGGCCAAGAGAGCAGGTACTTGGGTAAAACAGTGAAGGTGCTGTGGGGAAATGGGTCGTGTGCACTTAATGAGCGATAATCCATGCTAAGTCACCATTAATGGGGGGAACTACCCAACCCCCATTCATTCACTAGTTTAATAAACATGTATCAAGCTCCTCCTGTGGGCGTCCATCAGCCTAGTGGTTTGGATACAGATAGTAAGAAGTGGTTCTTGCCTGCTAGAGCTTAGAGTTTTAATAGGGGCTATAGACAAACCCATGTTATGAGACAAACCCCAAACTGTTTTGGGGTCAAAACTAGCACTGAATTATTTCCAAGGGCCCTTGAGCCCAGTGTAAGGGGAAAGGAAAGGCATTGAGGAAGGTCAACGAAGTTGATCCCTGAGGTGGGGGAAGATGTGAGGGGAGCAGGGCACTCCACATGGAAGGACCTCCCAGTGAAAAGAGGGGAGCAGGGCACTCCACATGGAAGGGTCCCCCAGTGAAAAAGGGACAGAAACTCAGGTTGGCTGTGATACAGAGTGCCAAGGAAAAGAGGGACAAGAGAAGGGCTGGGCAGGCAAACAAGGACCGGATCAAGATGAACCTTATGAGGAGTAAATAATTGTCCTGTGGATGATGGGAACTACTGAAGGGGACAGACATAATCAGAGTTTTCATTTAGAAAGCTCATTCTATCAGCCTTGTAAAGAACGGATCCCAAGAAGGTAAGGCTAGGAGACCACTGGAAGGCTAGAATAACGTTCCAGGAACAAAATCCTGAGGCCCCAAAGCAGAACAGGGAGAGTGAACATTCACTTTCTGCTATTCGCAGTGAGGTTATGGGAGACATCAACTCATATGGAGCGAACTTGTCTCTGAGGCAGCTATACTACTGATACCTTAGGGGAAAATGTTTGATAATGAATTCCCACTTTCTAAACCTGTTAGTGGTCCATTTTCCAGCATCTAAGAAACTTAGCCCTGGGCATAGAAATCTGAAAGGTGTTCCTTGATTTATTGCAGTGATGTCAAATACGTGGTGTGAGAGCCATAATCCCCAGCTTCCGTGCCTGTGGCAGACATTGCTAATCCATCATCGCACTCTTCTCTGCAGTACCCAAATGTGGCCTCAGAACGTTTGTTGGAGCAGCTCTCCAGGCCGCTACTGCCAATAGGATTTTGTGTGCACACTGAAAGGCTTTGCTGTGCTTTGTGTAACCTCTTGTTGCCATATGAAACAAAGACTTGGGTCTTTAAAAACAAGCAAACAAAAAGTGAATTTTATAAGAGCAGGGGCTTAAGAATTCAGGGTTGCCCAGCCGGCTTGGTTCAGTGGTTGAGCATCAACCTAGGATCTAGGAGATGTTGGTTTGATTCCCAGTCAGGGCACATGCCCGGGTTAGGGGCTTGACCCCCAGTCGGGGGTGTGCAGGAGGCAGCCAATCAATGACTCTCATGATTGATGTTTCTCTCCCTCTCCCCACCTCCCTTCCTCTCTCTGAAATCAGTAAAGACATTTTTAAAAAAAAGATTTCAGAGTTGCAAAGGCCTGTCCAAGATTAGTGATTGCCACACTTCGTGCAGCCTGGAACACATACAGAAATTATTCAGATAGAAGGGAATTTTTCCCACTTTGAAGATTTATAGAGGTGAGAAAACCTCTAAAGAATTCAGAGTTTAACCGCTTTCAGAGTCAGAAAATCCGTGTGCTCTTTCTCTTGCATTAGTCCAACCTAAGTCTACACACTCACAAATGATGGGCACATGGATACAGGGTTGAGTTCTCAGATACATCTGAGTTCTGGAATCCTTAGAAATATCTAAGTTAGTGGGAAAGGAAGTTTCCAGTTCCATTTGGCTCATTTCTTCAGCTCCCCCTGCATTTTGGAGTTGCTGGCAGCTGGGTCCGTGATGAGGTAACAATTATGATCCACTTCACAAATATTTAAAACTGCACCATCCCTGACTCCAGAGCAGCGTGGGCTACAGCCCTCAGGACCCCCAGAGGAGCTCTTGAGGAGGCTGCTCTGTCCCCATTGCCTCTGCCCAGGCCAGTCCTCTACCAATGCAGCTGCAGAGATTAAAAAAACAAACAAAAACCTTCCTCCCCACCCAGTATAGAGACAGGGAGGGCAGAGTGTGGGGCCCAGGGAGGTGAGAATTGTTTGCAGGTGGCCCGTGGGCTTTGCCAGCAGCTTGGGCTACAGAGGGGGGCTGGAGAAGCATGGCTTGTGTTTGGGTAGAGAAGGGGAACGCCTCTGTCCCTTCGTGCTTTCTGGCTTCTGGGCTCCAGTCCAGTCTTCTTGCAACAGCTTAATCTCCCCCTGGATTCCAAGTGACAATTTGTGTCTTGTTCCTGTGATACTCTGGATTGTTAGCACTTCCTCCCTGTCCCATTGATTTACTGAGCCCAAAACCATGCTGTTTACCATCTCTGTGGGCTCTTGGATTATTAAAGGAGTTTTGTTTAACAAACGAGGTGGGGCTGGTGAATGAAATTCAAGATACAAATGGGACAAATCAGTAGCTCAGTGAGATTATGTAGGGATTAGAGCCACACTCTGGGCCAGCCCAGAAAAAGACTGCCTTCCACAAGCACCTCCCTCGGGCCTCAGTGTGGTGCAGTTATGCTCATGGTGAATCCATCAGCTAACACCCGGCCTAATGACAGCCCTTTTGGCCACGAGCAAGCCACACAAAAAAAAGTGCAATGAAATTTCAAACAAAGATAATTTAAAGAGCAAAGCAGAATGTATACAGCCACTGCCGTATTCTTTATGCCCTTATTATGCTGATGTCATACAATAATGTTAGAACTTCTTTCAACATAAACCAAGGGATAGAGGCACGTGTGATGCCAGCGGATCCCCTGCGTTTGCAGCTGTTTCCCCCCCTCTCCCAGAGCCAGCTTTGCTCTGCCTCTGCCTGAGTCAGAACAGACTTCTCCCCAGTCCACCCCCCCCCTGCACTCGGGGCAGACATCGCTAATCAGCTGCGGCACTTCTCTGCCCGCCTGGATGCTGCCTCAGCTTTGCTGTTGAAACTTTCTCAATACAGCAGCACAGTGGTCCTGACTTTCTGCTCTTAGGTCGTGGCTACTGTGTCTTCTTCCTGTTTAAGCTTACCATGTCTGTGCACTGTTTAACCAGCAGCTGTGTAATGGTCCCTTCTGTGTGGTCTCATAGCATTGTTTCTTTCTCCATCTTTGAATTTATCATGCTTTGTTATGGTTATTTCTTTACTTTTCTTTAGCTACCAATGGAAAATAATTTTTTTAAGTATATATTTTTATTAATTTCAGAGACAGGGAGAGAGAGATAGAAACATCAGTGATGAGAGAGTCATTGATCGGCTGCCTCCTGCACGCCCCCGACTGGGGATCGAGCCCACAACCCGGGCATGGGCCCTCACTGGGAATCGAACCGAGATCTCCTGGATCCTAGGTCGATGCTCAACTGCTGAGTCACACTGACTGGGCAGAAAAAATTTTTTTATGTCTGTCTTGTTCACAGCTCTATGAGCTGTGTTGCACAGTGCCTGGCATAAGGAGGGGGGGTACTCAATAAATACAGGAGTGGGCAAAAGTAGGTTTTACAGCAGTTTGTATGGAAAATAATACATAATAAATAAATAATAATACAAGAATAAACACACATACTCACAATTATAAACCTACTTTTGCCCACCCCTGTATCTTTTGTTAAGTATTCAAAAATTTTTATTTAAAGATTTTTATGGTTTTCTGAGGTCTTCTTACCTCCTGAGTCGCTGGAATAGTGTGCCTTTGCCTTTTCTGTAAGGTTTTTTTTTCCCCCTCAAAAGCATCAGTTCATCTTAAGTCTCCTTATCTTCTGTTCTGGCTATCTTCTGCTGTGTAACAAACCACCCAAAATTTAGTGGCTTAAAACAACCATTATTTGATACTTGTGGCTCCTGTGCACCAGGAATTTGGGGAAAGTGCAGTGGGGATGGCTTCTCCCTGCTCCCTGGTGTCTGGGCCTCAGCTGGTTTGTCTCAAACAACCAGGGGCCACAACAGGGAAAGCTGCCGTCTCCACACCCCAGTCTGTCCTCATTCGAGTGTCTGGTCCCGGGCTCCCAACTGTTTAGCTGGAACTGCCAGCCAGAGCCATACACGTGGCCTCTCTAGAAAGGCTTGTGCTTGTCAAGCATTGCTCCTAGGTCCTGAGGTGGCCCCCAGGGGAGAGCCGCCAGTGAGTGAATGTCCCAAGAGAGCAAGGCAGGAGCTGCAAGTCTCCTGACCCGGCCCCGGAATCACACAGCATGGCTTCTACTGCATTCTTCTGGGTACAAGAACGGCACTAACGCCAGGTTCAAGGGTAAGGGGATTACCCTCCATCTCTTGATGGGTGAATGGCAGGGCCACATTCAGAAGAGCATGTGGGGCGGGAGGTGCTGTTGCGGCCACCTTTGGAAACTATAATCCGCCGCATCACTCAGCTCTGGTGGAGATGAAGGGGAGTCCTCCCGACCCACGGGATGTGCTGATTATCGTTAATCTCATTA